ACAACCCATCTTCACATGTAAGGGTTCAGCTGTCACTTCAACAAGAAGACTTGCCTTGACTCTCTTTATCACAATACATTGTACTTACTTATTTAATGTCTACCTTTTATTTTATTCTAAAAACTCCCAGAAAACTGTAACTAGCTTTGTCTTTGCTGCTTCTCTATCCCTGTTGCAGCATCTAGAGAATGTGGCAGATATTTTGTACCTGCATACTTGTATTTTATGTATCTCAACTGCGGAGACAGCAGAAATTATTATCTTTAAAAATATTCTTAGTTTGTTTAGAATATAGTTGTAAATACAGAGCTGTTTCTTTTTCCATATTATTTCTTGGGGAGCCAAATTGCAATCCCTTCCTAAAAGCTAAGCTGTAAAGTACATCTTGTTTTTTAAAATACAGCATTGTTCTAAGTTTGTGCTCAGATCTAAGAAATAGTGATCATAATACCTACCTGGAAAGGTAGGTAGAAAAATAGTGATAACACACTTCATGAGTCTGTCATGGAATAGGTATTCAATATATGGTAGCTATTATTAAAGAAAAATAATACACATACAGGGGGTGTGTGTGTGTATATGTGTGTGTGTAGCTCTCTCAAGACAATTGTAATAATGGCATTGTTAATTTTGTATTATTATCTCCTACATAAAGTCATACACCAGAAAGAACTTTCTAACTAAAGTCTGAAAAGTTCTTTAAAAGCAAATAGGATGATTTGGAATGGGTTGGTATAATAATCAGCCCTCCAAGAAGCTCAATCTTTCCAAATCCAGGGTCTTAATCTGGGATCATGAAACCCTACCTGGTTTAATGCATAGATTTCAACATGTCTATCAACTGTTTAAAAAATAAATGCAAAATAAATATATAAACCATATATTTCAATAGCTTCTCAAAGGGACTGTGAATAAGAAAAAGAATCACTGCCTAACAACTTCTCCAGGAAATCTGGTGCTCTGGCACAAATGAAAATGTTGACAGTGTGATCGTTGTGTCATCTAGCTGGCCAAAGCAATGTTTTCTGTTAAAGCAAAGATTAGGAGTCTTGAGACCAAAATGATCTCAACTAAATGGTTCTTCTACTCTATGTTTCCATCTGCCCAGCATGTGAGCTATTAACACATGCTTCCTGTTGATGATTTTCATATCCTTATTTTCAAGGAAATTACACTTAGACCAGTTCAAAAGAATTACTTATGTAATGTATTGGAAAACCAAATAAATGAACATCCTATATATACTGACAATTTTATATTGCTAAACAGTGACTATTTATAGGACATTAAGCACACATTGACCAACACTGCCTCTACATCATTCATCTAGTAGTTTTCATTATATATATACACATATTTCTATTCTAGTCCAAAAAAAAGCAGGTCTTGTCATGTGTTGAAATATTTTATTTGAACACTTAATGCATCATCTGTCTCGTATTTCCACATGTTGTGTCATCACCATTTGACCTCAACCCATTGTTAAATATTTAATAGTACTGTTGGATAAACAATACAAAGTATTGTTTACTTTTGAATGTAACATTTATATAAAAAATAAGCCAATATATGCTGCAAAAGGTACAAGTTTAGATTGTTGTACATACCCTTCTGGATGTAAAATGAAATATAAGGAGAAAGGAAACTACAGAAAGGATGAATGAATCAGAGAGAGCAATGGCAATTGAGAATATGTCATAACTCTCCAAAAATGAAGAAAAGCAGAAAATGACTGCCACCAATATGTTGGCATAGTGGAAAAAACACCTTTCCATCTCTCAAAAGTTAAGCATAATAGATTGTTTTGAGTAGGAGTCTATTTACATGAAAATGATGAAGAACTGGTAGCCAACAAAATACAAACCAATAGAGGCTCATTTTTAGCACTTGCTAAATGCAAATTTCTTGATGATGGATTATTCACTGGAAAGGTTAACTATGGTATAAATGAGCACTGAAAGAATGCATGCAAGAGATTTTAATAAGTTAGCACATCACTGTTAGGAACTATGCTCAATACATTCTCTTTGACTGACAATAGACAATCAGCCTTTGGGAGAATGAAGACAGGTATCAGCCTGGAGGAAATCTTTATAACACATTGAATTCCTCTGAGACACAGAGCTGAAAACTGCATTTAGTAATATCCCACTTCCACATGTTTTTCAATGACAGCCAAAATACAAAAGGGACTCAAAAATCACAGCTAAGAGACAGTAAAGAAAAATGTAACTGAAAGATATACTATGTTCGTGGTTTTGAAGAGTCAATATTGTTAAAGTGTCAATTCTCCTTAAACTGCTATATCACAATCATAATCTCATCAAGCTATTTTTGTAAAAATAAACATTCTAAAACTTATGTGGAAAAATAACTAAAATAGTAAAAATAAACTTGAAAAACAATAAAGTTGAAGAAATTATGCATCCTGACTTCATTACTTTCTCCAAAGACATAGTTAGTAAAATAGCGGGTTACTAGAGGATCAACAAAGAAACCAATAAACAATATCACATCCCAGATACAGATCTTGTTGATGCCATCTGATTTTTTTTTTTACAAGGTGTAAAAGCAAAATGCGGGCTGGGGATTTAGCTCAGTGGTTTCGCCGCCTGCCTTGCAAGCGCAAGGACGCAAGTTCGATCCCTGTACCAAAAAAAAAACCACAAAGGGCCAGGGATTTAGCTCAGTGGGTCTGGTGCCTCCCTCGAAAGCGCAAGGTTCTGAGTTTAACCCCGGTACAAAAAAAAAAAAAAAAAAGCAAAATGCAAAATGGGTTTGCAACAAATTTCCTTTCAAGGATTAGCCCATTCTACTACTATAACAAAATACTGTAGACTAAGTTATAAACAACAGAAATATATTGTTCACAGCTCTGATCTCTGGGAAGTCCAAAAAGCACTAGCAGATTTGGTATCTGCTAAGGCTCACTCTGCTTCCAAGATAGTGTCTTACTACTGCATCGCACATGGCAGAAAGGTGAAGTCATAAATCTTTTCCTTGAAGCCCTTTTATACAAGGTCTAACTGCATCCCTAGGGACAGTGCCTTCAGGGTCTAATCACTGCCCAAGGACCCCCACACCTTAAAACCATCGAGTTAGGGGTTAAGTACCAACACAGGAATTTTGAAGTGAAACATGCATTTACATCACAGCAATGACTAACTGAAACATTTACAAGACAGTGCAACAGGATGTCTAAGACATGTCTAACTGCCTTGTGGACTTTTGACCTATCATAAGCATAATATTTTACATCTTAGGTGAATTGACCATCAGAAATGAGACAGAATACATGTTAATTTTTTAAATGAAATGCCAAGATAGATGATCTAACAACTACTGATGACAGTATTGAATAGGAAAACACTTAGAAGAGCACTAGGTGTACAAACTACTGCTACTCTATGAAAAACTAAAATGAGGTTTCTAAACTAAAATACACAAAAGTAACTATAGCATACCAACTTACCTTTAGCCAATGAATAATTCAGGAAGGTGGCTCTTATTTGATTGACACATTGTTTTGAACATAAAGCAGGGAAACAGAACAGCAAGTACTGATTTGCCCTCCTCATGCTTTCCGTGCAATATAAAGTGTAAATGGAATCAGGATAAAAAGTAAAAAGATCACATATTGATATTTTCAGGCATAGCCAAATACATGAACCACTTGTAGTGTCAAAGTGACCTGAAACATTTTAGAACTTTCTTTTAATCCAATATAATATTTCTTTCCTGAGGCACAATTTGAATTGCTTACTAAGTTATTTTAATGACTTAATGATGCTAAGATAAATATACTGACATGGCTAGTTTAAGTGACTATGTGGCTTATATCTTAGGTGATTTCTGGAAACCCAATACATTTCTAAAATTGGAAGGGAAAATAAAGGCAAGAAAAACGTTACATAAAAATGAGTAGTACCAAAAAGAAAGAACTGCCATGATTAACTGACATTATGTAACACCAAAGTAACATTGAAGAGAAAAGTTCAAGCAATGAATTGTTATCTTACTATTTTATTAAATGATTTTACTATTTTATTTATGATTTTTTTAAAGAAACTTAACTTGTTTGCATATCTTGGATAAACATTGCCTGTATGTACTCACATTTCTTAACTTTTTAGTTCTGCAATAATTCTGCCAGTACACAACTATTACCCTCCACCCCCAATCAAATCCTTATTCTAACTTACGAAATTCCACAATTCCAAAGATCATGACGCATTAATAATTGTTTTTGTATCTAGAAGACAAAAGCTGATTTTAAAATCATTTCAGCCTATTTCTCAAAGCTTAAGTTTTGTTGTTTAACCAAGATTGGTTATTTGCATTCAGAAAATAATTCATTTTGCAAAACACCTAACTTAAAAAATTGTGTGACCTTTAAGGCAAAAACTAAAAGCTATCCGTTCATGACTTCCAAAGTTTCTACATATAGTCTCTTCCCTCTCCTTCAATATTCTCTTTTTAGAGACAGAAAGTTAACCAGGTCAATTCAGATCCTATACAACAATTTTACATGAGTTCAACAGCTTACCTTGGGAACTAGCTTGAATCATTTGCTAAACTCTAATATTTTAAATTTATAAACTTCAGAAGGAAGACAGCTTTTGAAGCTGACCAAAAAAAAAAATGAGAAAACAGTAGTCTCTTTGTATGCTGCCCAGAAATTCAGTTACAAAGTGGTCCTATTGTGTTTCTCATAATTTACATTTACTTTTTTGGCAGAACAGAAAGGAAAAAAATAAGAAGTCAAACTTGGAGGCATACAACAAAAATGAAAGACAGTATTTTTATTTTAAAATGTCCCCCTTGACATTTAGATATCTACCAACCCAATATTTAACATTTATAGGAGATAAAACAGTAAAAGAAATAGCAGCTGTTTTTCTGTGATGTCACTGAACAGGTGTGTCACCATTCTGTACCACAGAAGTTGGATGTATCTTTTGCCGATGCCCACAAGAGTCCCTGTTGGAACCCATACTGACCTGGGTCTCATTTCCACCAATTTGTCCAGAAAATAACGTGGGATGATGAGAGTCCTGGGGACTGATCTATGCAGATTCGAAGCAGACATTTTCCCAAACAGATCAATACTATCCAAGGTGCAGCTGGAAAACAGGATGGACTTGTATCATTAAACAAACACCACACTGCTTATTCACCAGGGCAAAAGCAACATGGCATTTGTGTTTTCCACAGTGTGTTTGCCAGTGGCCTCAACCCTGACCTGCAGGGCCTCCCTCTCTGGGGCAAGAAGTGATCTTGTGTGATTGGGTCTTCCTCTGGTACCAAAGGACTCCCATGAGTTGTGGCAATTTTTACAATGAGAGTTACACATTCTGCTTTGGCAAAGCCAAGATGCCAAAGCAACTAGTCAATGTCAAAGCAACTAGTCAATGAAGTCAATCAAACCAAATGACTACTCTGAATATTTGTTATTATATTTTAAAATAGAAATAGGATATTTACCTTTTATCTAATCATTTTGGAATTTGGAATTGTGTAGCTACATCTTAAAATAAATTAATTTAGGAAGTTCTTATGATACCATTTTTTCTATGTAGTACATAAACTAAAATAATTATCTCAATTAAAAAATACTTTTACTTAAACTTCTTGATAAATATTCTTTGGTTAGCTCACCCAAATTTAGTCACATAGAACCTGCCTTCAAAAAAGTAATATTTGTGTATACTTGTATGGTCCTTTTATATCAACAGTTAATATGTGCACACAAATGAAGATTTAAACCTAGCAAGAACATCCAAGGTATATTTTCCTTGCTTACAGGTTTTAAAAAAGGAGAAATAACGGGCTTTAAAACAATCTTCCCATCCCCGGTACCAAAAAAAAAATCTTCCCCAAAAAGTACTGAGAATATAAACTACAGAGATAAGTAAGAGGACTTCATATACAAGTAGGCATGAATAAATCTAAACATTTTGTATAATCCTGGGGTGGAAAGTCTTAGAAAAGACCCTTTCTTTCAGTGGCTACCTGTTAATTCGGGATCACAAAAAGCGTTTAAAAAGGAGACAAAGAAAAAATATTGTAATTATGTTGAAGTCTTCAAAATGTTTTAATGGTCATTGGTAGCCATAACATCAAATCAGCTACCATCTAAGATCTTTGTGTATCTAGAATGTTTATTTTCGAACCCTGGATATATGGTTCGAAAATCTAGCTAAAACAGAAGCTGTGTCTCTGGCTGCCAGGAAAAAACAAATTTGTATGGGGAGAAAAAGAAGTCAAGTAACAATAATTGTTAGCTTTCCCCTTTCCTTTAAGTAAGTTTTCCCTGGGGGGAGGGATGGGGCTTTGAGGGGAAGAAAACAAACTTTCCCTCCAGTACATCACTGTATAGACACTGTATCCATCTCTGAATAAAGAAGAAATAAATTCAACTCTGGAACACTGCCATTGAGTGGTGTCTCCAGCTAAGGGGACAGTCTGCTATTAATAGTTAATGTCGTCTGCCATTAGAGGGCACTAAACAACTCTACATTAATGCTTTGGAGGAAAGAGAAAAAGAGAGACGGGAAAAGAAAGAGGGGTGGGAGAAGAGGGAGGGAGAGTATGGGCAGAGTGGGATAGAAGGAGGGAAGAGAGTCCTCAAGAAGTAGCGGAAAGAGAGATGAGGGAAGGAGTGGGAGGCCGCGAGGGAAAGAGAGGAGAGGAGGGAGACAGAGACAAACGAAGCTGGAAAGGTTAAGAAGGATGTGGAGCCCCCAGAGCCGTCTGAAGTGAGCAAAAAGCCAGTCTCCCTCCAGCCGCCCGCGCCCCTCCCCTCCCGTCCTCACGACAGTAATTATAAAGCGAAAAGCGGCGGCGAGGTCACCGGTTTTTACCAGCCTGCTGCACCGAATGCGCGCGGTGCAGGTGCGGCGGCCGCGGGGCTTTGTGATTCATGCTCACTTTCAAAGGGGGGCTTGGGCCCGTCTGAGAGGCACCCAAACAACTGTCTTCTAATATTAGCACGGCTGTATTTCGGGATCTATTATAGTCTGTCCAGACAGATCCCATTGTAATGGGATCTTTTATTAAAAGATTAGCACTATCTCCTGCAGTTGGTGGAAAAAAATCTGTTATCACTGAGTTATTTGCAGTTGTGGAGTGGGTGGGAGGGGGGTTGATGGACGATGGGGGGTGGGAGGGCGAGAGGACTGGGGGAGGGTCTGGCAGGGGGAGGGGGGGGGGGCGAAAAGGGACAGATTTGAAATCCGTAGGCGAACAAATCCCAATGACCTGCAAATGTCCAAGAATTTTGTCTGCATACTTCGCTGTCTGTTGTCGTTCGGGCTTCAGAAGTGAAAAGAATAGAAATTTAAAAGGCAGCTTTGGAATAAACAATATAGCATTTTCCGTGAAGTAATCTTTTTTATATAAAAGGAAATATCCCCTCCTCAGTTTCATTCAGCGGTGCCAAAAATGTTATAAATGAGAGATCCGCCAACTTTCAGCGAAGAATGCCAGGCACTGTACTTAATAAACTGAGGCTACAGAAGTTCATTATCGATGTTGCAATCCTTTTTTATTCCAGAGAGAGAGAGAGAGAGAGAGAGAGAGAGAGAGAGAGAGAGAGAGAGAGAGAGGCCAAGATCGAAAAGACTGGGAGACAAGGGACACTGGACAGAAACTAGGGAGTCTGCGAGCCGGGAGGAGGGGGCAGACCGCCTACGTCGGCGCCCCCGCTCCAGGCTCCAACTCCAGACGCAGCGAAGAGAAAGGGTTTCGAGAAAAGAAAGGGAGAGGGCGAGACTGACGGGGCGGGGGTGGGGGGGAGGCGTTAAACATTTTTGTTTGCTTCTGACTCGTCCAGACAGAGGGCCACGACTCCGCACCGCTACGCCAGGGTGGAAGGTGTCGGGGTCGGGGATCGTAGCAGCAACTTGGGGGGGGGGGGGGTGCTGCAAAGTAAAGCACGCGCAGACCCAGACACAAAACCTCGCGGGGTCCCGCGCCCAAGGCTGCTGAGCCTACAACGGCAGCGAGGCCGGCGCGTTCTGACCCGACCCGGAGCAGATCTCAGCAGCTCGGGGCTTTCCAGGTTCTCTGGACGTTTGCAAAGTGTCTTTGGATCCAGGGAAGCAGTGCGGAGGCAAACTCACGGACACCCCTAATCCCCCCCACTCTGCCTCCTCCAGCGCCTCTACCGCGTCCTCCCTACACACACGCACACGCGCGCGCGCGCACACACACACACACACACACACACACACACATACACACACACACGCCACCCCGGGCGCGCCGGCGCTGCCTCCGAGCGGCAGCGTGCAGGACTGAAGTGGGTGTTCTTCCCCACTCCCCACCCCCGACGCGTCGCCCCCACCCCCCGCCCGGGTCGTCTTCCCCCTCCCTCTCGCTCCTACGCAAATAAGAAGTCGGCGATTCCCTTCCAGCCGCTTTGATTTCGGGCACCTCCGACAGATAATTGGGAAGGGTTTCCAGAAGGTGGGAAATGTCACCTGATTCACACTGAACTTTTAAAAGCTCCCCACCCCCAAGGAGCCGCGCACACCCTTGCTCGCGGCTGCCCTCCCACAGCCCCACACACTTGGAGACCGCCCACCGCAAACCGCGGAGACCCCAGTCTAGATTTAAGGCGCGGCTGCGCCCGGCTTCTGACGTCCATTGAATCGCGCGGGCGGCCGGCGGCGAGCGCGGGGCTGCACCGGGATCGCTGCGCCCTCCGCCGCTCGCCTCTGCGACGCGCGCCGCTCGCTCTAACCAACGCCGCGCTCTCTGCCCCGCGCCTGCCCCCAGGATGGTCCGCGCCAGGCACCAGCCCGGCGGGCTTTGCCTCCTCCTGCTGCTGCTCTGCCAGTTCATGGAGGACCGCAGCGCCCAGGGTGAGTGAGGGGGGATGTGCTGGGGAAGCTGGGCTAGGAGCTGGGCTTTCTACTTTCTGTCGTTTCCACTTGGTCTTTTCTGACCAACACTGCTCTAGGAAGATGTTGGACCAACTTAGCAACTCTGGATGAAGAAGAGTGGGAAAACTGAAGGCAGTGACACTTTGGGACTGGGAACGGAGTTTGGAGCTCGGTTATCCTTAAAAAGCAAAGAGTAAGCTGGAGTCTCGGTCGGTGGTTAGGGTTAGATGCTCCAAGTTCTGGCCGTGATGACTTTAGATGTCTCCCCTGGTTGGCTCTCAAGAAGGAGACGAGCATCCACAGCCTGGAGATTTCAGTCGGCCCATTTGCAGTCTAGCCTTTCGCCCGCATCTTTGGTGACTAAAAAATCAGCTGGGGTGGGAGAGAGATACCGAATTTTCTTGGGTGGTTGGGGGACGTGGTTTCAGAAACTTTGCCCAAACTTGGAAATGTGGGTGCTGAAATTTTTTAAAGGAAGTGGCATTCTTTCTGCTTAGTGGATGCTTCTTGCGACCCCCTCCCCCAACCGCGCAAAAAAAAAAAAAAAGAAAAGAAAAGAAAAAGAAAGAAAAGAAAAGAAAGCAAGCCAGATTATTACCCTGGAGTGTTTTGAGTACTTTATAATTTTCCCCTTTCTCTTATTCCTCTGTTAACTTTCTGTGAACGAGCAGCCCACAACTGATTTAAATTGTAAGACGAATTAAGAGCAAAATTCTAAAGTTTGTCTTTAAAAACTGGATTTATTTCACTTCATTAAATCTTTAGCCGTATTTTTTAAAAGAAAGACATAGAAGTTTGCGTTCCAGGTATTGTTAAAGTCACATCGGTGAGTCATAAGAAGTCTTCCTGCCCAAAGTCCGAACATTAAAAAGGGGGAAAGAGGAGGGAATTGTTTGCAAAAATTTCTCGGTAGGCATAGGTAGGTATATAGAACCATAAAATGGTAGACGCCTGCCCCCTTTACCATGCTACTTTGCCTGCTTTAGCGTAATCGTTTTTGTGCCTTGTAAACTGCTCTCCAGAGCACTCCCGCTCGCCGTCTGCGCTGTGGTGGGTGCTGAGTTACCCGCCTTTCGCAGAGAGGCGCTGCCTGGGTGCGGGGACGTGGGAGCCAGGGAAAGCAGACCTCGGAGATTTCGAAAGATCTTGGTGACTGCGGGCTTGCTCCCAGTCTGGAGGATTGCAAAACGGGCCCGTCAGGCGGGCTGCGCCTCAGCAGGGCAGTTCTAGGCTGGGCCGGTTGCTT